ATAATAATAATAAAACTATATTTATGACAAAAGGTTTGCGACAAAATTCATATATCGCTAGTCCCCACATACAGTGGTATAGATAGATAGTATACATATATAGTGGTACATGTTTAAAACAGTTTAAAAAAAAAAATTTAGTGTTCCAAATTAAGAATGAGTGAGTGTGTGAATAGGTGTGTATGCGTATGTATTTGAGAGTGTAGCTGAAAGTTGTTATGATCGTGCACTGTATCTGTGTTAGTTTATACCTGGATAGTATAACGATATCAGAATCCATAGATTTGGAAATTTTATTATAAAGAAATATTTATATTTTATTTAAAAGAAATGTTTCCGTAATTCATTAAAACGCACGCATTTGCCTCATGTGATGGTGTCATTTACCAGTCTGAAATAAAAATATCTCCTATTAACGTTCGAGATATCGGAAAATACATAAGTTTTCTGTAAATATCATGACTGCATGATACGCGCGTCAGTTGAATCTAAAGGTTGGGTAATGTTTGTTTGTTCTACAAACAAATGCAGATAACGTCGTAATAGAAGTATTTGAAGTTATACTTCTTTAGGCGCGTTATGAAAAATTGATGAGAGTGAAATTTTACGATGCGCGCGCACCGTGACACAAAATTAACAGAATGAAGTTAGTGGCGCATTTTGGCACGCACGCCGCCTCTGTTCACTGTGTATTTATATTTATAATATTTATTCACATGCTTTGAAAAAAAAAAAAAAAAAAAAAAAAAAAAAAAAAAGAAAAAAAAAAAAAAAAAAAAAAAAAAGAGAAGAAGGGGGGGGGAAAGGGGGGGGGGGGAGGGGGGGAAAAAAAAAAAAAAAAAAAAAAAAAAAAAAAAAAAAAAAAAAAAAAAAAAAAAAAAAAAAAGGGGGGGGCGGGGGGGGGGGATTAAATACACCAAAAAAAAAAAAGGGGGGGGGGGGGGGGGGGGAGGGAAGGAGGGAAAAAAAAAAAAAAAAAAAAAAAAAAAAAAAAAAAAAAAAAAAAAAAAAAAAAAAAAAGGGGGGGGGGGAAAAAAAAAAAAAAAAAAAAAAAAAAAAAAAAAAAAAAAAAAAAAAAAAAAAAAGGGGGGGGGGGGGGGGGGGAAAAAAAAAAAAAAAAAAAAAAAAAAAAAAAATGGGGGGGGGGAAAAAAAAAAAAAAAGGAAAAAAAAAAAAAAAAAAAAAAAGCAAAACAACCCCTTTAAATTTTTTATATTTATTTATAAAAAAAAAAAAAAAGGGGGGGGCCTAAAAAAAAAAACCCCCTGCCCGCCGGGGCGGTTTTTTTTGTTGGGGGGGGAAAACAAAAAAAACCAGAAAAAAATCCCGAAAAATACCACGAAAAATACCGGACGTGTAGCATTCGCCTTTGAGTTTCTACATTTAAAACACGTGTTCTCATTTTGTTTTCATTATACAAGTGCGAAAATTTAGATGTGCGTCTGAATTATAATCAGAAGTGATTTAAATTGAATATTTAAATCAATACTAATTAATATTAGAAAATAATAATAAATATAATATTAATAAATATTTATTTATTTAATTTTTCAAATGTAAACTGAACTTTATTGACTATAATGACTCCTTTTCCAGTCTTTGATTATTTAATTGTAATTAATTATTTGCATGCAATCAATAACTATTTTTAATAATACCAAAGAAGTATAACTTCTTACGCGCGTACATAAGTACACGCACCCTTTTTTATAATTTGTTGCAATTACATAGCTAATGTAGGTTTGAAGAAATATTTTATTAAACCCTCTCATCCCTGCCCTCCTATTGCTTAAGGCTGACTACTACTTATTTCGCTGACCCAGCGACCGAAAGACAAAAAGCGTATATAGACTGGCTGTCGAAGCGTCGCGTCGGTAGATACAGCTATTGTAGTAGTTAGAACATTTGTCGACAAAATATTGTAACAGTATTCAAAGAACAAATGTATTTTTTTATAGAACAGGGAGCATACGGGAAGGAGGCTTACCATGTTAAGTGATAGTCCCATGCCCATGGACACTCTCAATGCTAGAGGGCTCGCATTGCCGGCCTTTTATTGGCAGTTGTGCGAAGAACTAACATAGAAGGCCAATAAATTACTTCAGATTGAAGTCGAAAATATTATGTAATAACGAGTTATCTCTATAAGAGTTTTATTTTTTTGGTACTAAATTCATCGGGCACTACATGGGAATGCCTAAAAAAATGATATGCCATAGTGATATAAAATAAGTTTAATTAAACAATAAATGAAAGATTTTTTTTAATTCGTTATAAGCCGTCGAATAGGTAACAAAATTAATTGCAATTTAATGCTGTGTTAAATTCAATTATTAATTGATATTACTATTTCTCTGGCTCCTCGACGCATAATGAATCTTCGCTCCGAAACGAGTTCCACCGCTCAGGCCTTGGGACTTCCTTTATCCTGAAAGTTAAATGCTTGAGCGCGCTAGGTATGCTGCCTTCGTGTCCCGATCTTGACTCATTCACCTTATTATTTGCCAATAATTTTACATAAGACGAGATACAAATATGATTATGATGTCTAATGGTATAAAGCAAAATATAAATTCGTACACGTTTTACCTTACTAATATTTCTTGCATGAGCAGTGTTGGCCTAGTGGCTTCAGCGTGCGACTCTCATCCCTCAGGTCGTAGGTTCGATCCCCGTGCACCAATGGACTTTCTTTCTATGTGCGTATTTAACATTCGCTCAAACGGTAAGAGAAAACATCGTAGGGAAAATAGGAGGCTGATCATCTACCTGCCCATTAGATTGACAAATGAACATGAAACAGATACATAAATCTGAGGCTCAGACCTAAAATGGTTGTAGTGCCACTGATTTATTTATTTTATATTTTTGCGAAATACAGACTCACTATTTGAAATACCTACCTATTTTAAATTCATATCTTACAGGAATGATTTTATGGTCACGAAGATGAAACGTTAAGATGAAATGTTCGAATAAAATCATTGAAATATTGTATTTTATTTGTAACACGGATTTGAACTTGAAACAAACGCTACAAACTACATCTTCGACTTAAACACTCGGAATAAACTTTACTTCTGTAACGAATTTAAATTCGTATATTGAATTCATTCCATTTTAGGCAAACAAAATAGATAAAACACAAATTTGTTCTTAAATGCCCATTTTACTACGTACTTTAAAGACAATAGACAAGGAATGTACACAATGTTAATCTCCGAGATAACACCAACCAAATATTTTTTGTCTTACCGTGTTTAAGTACTTGAAAATGTTAACTTCCCATAGTTTAATAAAATTAAAGAAAACTGATGTTACACTGGAAAATAATTCATAGATCCTAGATATGAATATCTAGTAGGTAGATAAAAACAACAGTAAAGCGTGATATTATATCTGTATTTTAAATATAAAAATAAATCAGTGGCGCTACATCCTCTTTAGGTCTTGGCCTCAGATTTCTGAATCTGTTTCATGATCATTTTTTAATCTGATAGGCAAGTAGGTGATCAGCCTCCAGTGCCTGATACACGCCGTCGACTTTTTGGGTCTAAGACATGTCGGTTTCCTCACGATGTTTTCCTTCACTGTTAGCATGCAATGCGCACATCGAAAGTAAGTCCATTGATGCACAGCCGGGGATCGAACCTACGACCTCAGGTATGAGAGTCGCACGCTGAAGCCACTACGCCAACACTGCAATGCTGCTGCATTTCAAATATAGTTTGTATATCTAGATGTTTTTTACGTAACACTAAGCCGCCCATGATCACTTATCTTGTTTTCATATTTATTTTTGCTGTCTAGAACATTCAGAATACGAGACTTTATTACTCACACTTGTCAAAAACATAATATATTTATTATACTGTTTATTATGATTTATTTTTATCTAATCTCGTTTATTATGAATTAATATTTCAATTACGAACATCAAAATAATAATACATTAAACAGAATACCAAAATTAACAAAACGGCATCATTGCTCTGGAGAAATAAATTTATATTAAGGAGAAAAATAGGATATATCCCATTACTACAACCTTTGGTTAATTAAAAAAAACGCCGTGTTTGGTACTTTACTAACCTAAACGTTTAGGTTCGATTTCTAGAGATTTTCTCTCTTCCAGTTTGGAAGGCATAGAAGACGATCACGTTTGATAGTTTATGGAAATAATAATAAAAAGAGTGTGTGTACTTGTACACGCGTTAGAAGTTATACTTCTTTGGCGTTTGGAAAAAAAATAACTAAAATGCAGTAGTGATTAACGATAAATACCAAAATTAATCAATAAAATTATTATTAGTAAATACTATCACCGTCGTATATGAAATTGATTTAATAAAAACACCAAAATAATATTTATGACGAAACACGTGTTCTAAATATAAAAATACTAGAATATACAACTTGAACATAGTTATTAACGATTTTCATGCCACCTAGAACTAACTTCATTCTGTTAATTTTGTGTAACGGTGCGCGAGCATCGTAAAATTTCACTCTCATAAATTTTTCATAACGCGCCTAAAGACATATAACTTCAATAACATTTTTTAAAACTAAAACGTTAAAGTCTGTGTCGAATACGAGTTAAATTAGTTAAATGGAGGCATCACTGTGAAAAGAAAAATCAAACTCAGCAGGGTTCTTTATTCTCCTTATAAACTATAGGCACCATTATAGTCTTAAGATTTAAGATACTTAACTCTAAGTAGTAATCAAGAAGTTTTAGATTTTGACGTTCGAGTGGTATAGCTTGTGCTCTTTCGATTTAAATCTTACTTGTCTTAACCAAATACCTCATGATCTTTATTTCCGTTCTGATATTTACCGTTGTATGCAAACATCCGTCCGTTATTATGGCTTAGTATGCATTATTGTCATGAGTCAGTCTGCGAAAACATTATGTTTGTCTTGCTGTAGTTATCTCTTCGGCAGTCATTATCTTCGTTATCTCGACTAATTAGAAGCGTGTATAAAAGGTTTGTTAAATGGTTTTTGGCACAAACAGAACGAACGAGTCATATGAAACACAAGTTTTAGTTAAGTGCGAACGAAACGATATTTATGTAACAATGAAGATAACAATTCTGCTATTTATTGTAAGTATTTTTTAAGTTTTAATTTTTTTTTAACGACGTTCCCATGTAAGAACTAACCAGTGTTTAAACACCTTACTTAAGTAAAAGTATTTTCATTTTTATGTAAAAAGTCTTTGCAAAATCTTTAAAAATATTTTCATGCGTAAAAGGTTTATAAATACTCTTTAAGAAGAATTTTTAATTCTCAAGAGTTTTTGTCCTGTTCATTTTATGGCTTCTACTTTAACTGTCAATGTAAATTTACTCAGTGATAAGCAATGTTAAATGTACCATTTTTGGTAATTATAGAGTTGTGATTTGAATTATTTTAGATTGATTTAAATTGTACAATGTTTTATATTATTCAGTGATACTATTTTTTTATCAAAACGATTATTTAAATTGTTACCTAAGGTGGATGAATATTATTTTTATACATTTAAGATATTCATAACTTCATTAAAAATATCCAAAACCATTTTTGGCTTAGTGACAATGTAAACTTTGGAGTAAATGTAATTTCGTTGAATCTATCATAATATTATCGTGTTTTCATGTAGAGTTTTAAATAGAATATTAAATTGACAAATAATCTATATATTGAATGAGCACGCATACCATTCGTCTACTTAGAGTAAAAGTTACTAAATTATTTAGATACGAGCTTGTAGATATTGATACGTTCTTTAATATTGTGATTTTTTTTTGTTCTATCATCAATAGTTTTTGCTGCGCATGCGATGAAAGATACTTACAGGCATTTTATTACACATTGGGTAACATTATTGTAGTTTTGTAGATATCCTTATTTTTTGCAATTAAAATAGCCTATATTAATTAGTGTTAATGTAACATTTTTAAAATCAGTCCAGTAATTTTTAGCCAATTCGTTACAAACATACTTACAAACAAATCTTTCCTTTTTATCATAATAGTATAGATTTGACGAAAACTTCCATCCTTCATCCGTCACTTTCATCCTTCACGAAATTTATAATTACACTTATTCCTATTAAATTCATTCAATAGTTTATACAAATAAATCACTATTTAATAAACCAGTGGTATCACTTAATATCAGATGATCTTTGATTATTTACCCCTTGTTCTATAAAAAAATCAAGAAATACATTTTCAAACATATGGAATTAATTCATAAATCTATAATGAATTTAACTTTTAATGCCCTTAAAAAATGCATTTCATTAAAATAATTTAAGTTTACTCTATGCAATACAAATTCAGTCGGAAGTAAGAAATGCCAATTAAACTTCATTTCACAACAAGCGTAATTACGTATATGTATATTAAATTAACTTCTCTATTGCATATACAAAACATATTGTAATGTAAACATATCTTTTTCAGGTGGGTCTTTGCCTAGTTAGTGCGAAGCATCTTCCTTATGAATCGGACGATTCCAACGGCGTATTATTAAGAGATAAAAGGTCAGATTCTAACGAGTCTGACTCATCCTTTGAGCAGAGCAGTGATGATGACGATTCAATTGAAAGGAAAATAAAAGAGAGAGAGGAAAAACTACGCGAGAAGGCAGAAAAAGAACAAAAAAAGGAGAGACGTCGAGAAGAAGAACGTCAAAGAAAACTTGAAGAAAAACGCGAAAAGGAAGAGAAGAAACTTCAAGAGAAACTTGAAAAGGAACGACGTAAACAAGAAGAATACGAACGGAAACTTGAGGAGAAGCGCTTAAAAGAAGAGAAGAAAAGACAAGGAAAGCAAATAAATGAATTGAAAAAGGAAGCAAAAAGGTCAGAAATAGAAGACGATAGTTTCCTTGAGACTGAAGAAGAAAACTCAGTTGAACTTGAAGATATATGGAGACAGCATATTTACACTAAATACGGCTTAAACTTTGCTAGCACTAAATTAGAAAAACAGGCAGCATTGAATAAATATATTCAGGCAGAACAGAAACTACACCCTAATAGTACCAAGACTGAACGTCGTCGCGCGATATTAGATTTGATCCAAACTAAACTTCAAAATGATATTGCTGAAAGGGAGGCGATTCGCAAACAAATATTGAGTCACGTCAATGCAGTAACATTACAAAAATTACGCGAAGGTTTAGAAAAAGACATAGATGAAATAAATAACAAAACAGATTTACTGAAAAACGTTCAATTACCGTGGGCCATTCCTGTTCAACAGAAACTCGAGGAAAAGAAAACATTTTTGCAAGGGTTATCCCAATTTTTATCGAACATTCTTCCTAGCTGGATTTCTGGAAACCAGCCCCAAACAAATTCTCCAACGAATGAAAATGGAAGTCAAAGTATTAATTCAAATAATGATGCCATTGAGTCTTCTGGGAATGGTGAAATATCTAGTGCTGGAAATGAAAATAGTGGATCTCCAGCTCCATCCAGCTCTATCCCAGCCTCACAAGCAAATGGTCCTGCAGCTTCTGAATCTAATGTAGCAGGACTGCCCGAGGGATCTGTATCTCAAGTAAACCCAGGAGCTCCATCCAGCTCTGTCGACTCAGCTGTCAGTGGTGTTAGCAACCCAGCCTCACAAGCAAATGATCCTGCAGCTTCTGAATCTAATGTCGCAGGATGCCGACGGATCTGTATCGCTCAGAGTACAATCAGTACGAAGTTCCATCCAGCTCTGTCGATACAGCTTCCAATGGTGTTAAGCAACCCAACCTCACAAGCAAATGATGCTGCAGCTTCTGAATCTAATGTAGCAGGACTAGCCCGACGGATCTGTATCTCAAGTAAATCCAGGAGCTCCATCCAGCTCTGTTGATTCAGCTGCCAGTGGTGTAAGCAACCCAGCCACACAAGCAAATGATGCTGCAGCTTCTGAATCTAATGTAGCAGGTTTGCCCGACGGATCTGTATCGCAAGTCAATCCAGAAGTTCCATCCAGCTCTGTCGATACAGCTTCCAATGGTGTTAGCAACCCAACTTCACAAGCAAATGATGCTGCAGCTTCTGAATCTAATGTAGCAGGACTACCCGAGGGATCTGTATCTCAAGTAAATCCAGAAGCTCCATCCAGCTCTATCGATTCGGCTGCCAGTGGTGTAAGTAACCCAGCCACACAAGCAAATGATGCTGTAGCTTCTGCATCTAATGTAGCAGAATTGCCCGAGGGATCTGTATCGCAAGTCAATCCAGAAGCTCCATCCAGCTCAGTTGACTCAGCTGCCAGTGGTGTTAGCAACCCAACCCAACAAGTAAACGATGCTGCAGCGCCTGAATCTAATGTAGGAGGACTGCCTGAAGGATCTGTGTCTCAAGTAAATGCTCAAGCCACCTTCGCCACTCGTGGTGTTAGTAACCCAGCCTCACAAGCAAATGATCCGCAGCTTCGACTGCTGGACACCCGAGGGATCTCAACCCAAGTAAACCCAGGAGCTTCATCCAGCTCTATCAACTCAGCTGTCAGTAGTGTTAGCAACCCAGCCTCACAAGTAACCAATGCTGCAGCGCCTGAATCCAATGTAGGAGGACTGCCTGAAGGATCTGTGTCTCAAGTAAATGCACAAGCTCCATCTGGCGCTGTCGCCTCAGCTGCCAGTGGTGTTAGCAACCCAGCCTCACAAGCAAATGATCCTGCAGCTTCTGAATCTAATGTAGCTGGACTGCCCGAGGGATCTGTATCTCAAGTAAACCCAGGAGCTTCATCCAGCTCTGTCAACTCAGCTGTCAGTAGTGTTAGCAACCCAGCCTCACAAGCAAATGATGCTGCAGCTTCTGCATCTAATGTAGCAGGACTGCCCGAGGGATCTGTATCGCAAGTCAACCCAGGAGCTCCATCCAGCTCTGTTGATTCAGCTGCCAGTGGTGTAAGCAACCCAGCCACACAAGCAAATGATGCTGCAGCTTCTGAATCTAATGTAGCAGGATTGCCCGACGGATCTGTATCGCAAGTCAATCCAGAAGCTCCATCCGGCTCTGTCGACTCAGCTGTCAGTGGTGTTAGTAACCCAGCCTCACAAGCAAATGATCCTGCAGCTTCTGAATCTAATGTAGCAGGACTGCCCGAGGGATCTGTATCTCAAGTAAACCCAGGAGCTCCATCCAGCTCTGTCAACTCAGCTGTCAGTAGTGTTAGCAACCCAGCCTCACAAGTAACCGATGCTGCAGCGCCTGAATCTAATGTAGGAGGACTGCCTGAAGGATCTGTGTCTCAAGTAAATGCACAAGCTCCATCTGGCTCTGTCAACTCAGCTTCCAGTGTTGTTAGCAACCCAGCCTCACAAGCAAATGATCCTGCAGCTTCTGAATCTAATGTAGCAGGACTGCCCGAGGGATCTGTATCTCAAGTAAACGCAGGAGCTCCATCCAGCTCTGTCAACTCAGCTGTCAGTGGTGTTAGTAACCCGGCCTCACAAGTAAATGATGCTGCGACTTCTGATTCTAATGTAGGAGGATTGCCTGAGGGATCTGTATCTCAAGTAAATACACAAGCTCCATCCAGCTCTGTCGACTCAGCTGTCAGTGGTGTAAACAACCCAGCCACACAAGCGAATGATGCTGCAGCTTCTGAATCTAATGTCGCAGGATTGCCCGACGGATCTGTATCGCAAGTCAATCTAGGAGTTCCATCCAGCTCTGTCGATACAGCTGTCCAATGGTGTTAGCAACCCAGCCTCACAAGCAAATGATGCTGCAGCTTCTGAATCTAATGTAGCAGGACTACCCGAGGGATCTGTATCTCAAGTAAACCCAGGAGCTCCATCCAGCTCTGTTGATTCAGCTGCCAGTGGTGTAAGCAACCCAGCCACACAAGCAAATGATGCTGCAGCTTCTGAATCTAATGTAGCAGGATTGCCCGACGGATCTGTATCGCAAGTCAATCTAGAAGTTCCATCCAGCTCTGTCGATACAGCTTCCAATGGTGTTAGCAACCCAACTTCACAAGCAAATGATGCTGCAGCTTCTGAATCTAATGTAGCAGGACTGCCTGAGGGATCTGTATCTCAAGTAAATACACGAGCTCCATCCAGCTCTGTCGACTCAGCTGTCAGTAGTGTTAGCAACCCAGCCTCACAAGTAACCGATGCTGCAGCGCCTGAATCTAATGTAGGAGGACTGCCTGAAGGATCTGTGTCTCAAGTAAATGCACAAGCTCCATCCGGCTCTGTCGACTCAGCTGCTAGTGGTGTTAGCAACTCAACCCAAGAAGTAAACGATGCTGCAGGCTCCGTATCACAAGGAAGTTTAGTCGGCCAAGCTACGGATAGTAATTCTATGTCAGTAGGTCAAAACGTTGAGAGTGCTTCAAGTGATAATATCAAAGATACATCTTCTACCGCAACACAGGACTTGCCAACTACGAATGATCAATCTACAGCGTCACTAACAACTACAGATGTTACATCAGAAAGAGTATTAATTAATTCAACTCCTACAGATTTAGTGCAGTCAAATGGAAATGCTAAACCGGAGAGTACAACAGACACATACGCAACTGTAGTACCCGAAGCCAACGGTGCGGTAACGGAGGATAAAAATGCAGTGATTAATCAAAACGCTGTTGAATCCCAAACGGAGACAGCTGGTGTTGTGACAGAATCTCAATCAGCCACCAATGTCGTACCATCCGTGCAAAGTGAATTAAATACAAAGGCTCCCCAAGCTGCAATCACTGAATCTGAACCTTTGACCCCAGTTGATTATGTTTTAGATAGTTTTACAGTAGAACCTGAACCTGGAGCTACTGTAGTAGAAGTTGTTGCGCAGTAAAAAAATAATAGGAATCAAAAAATATGTAAATAATATTAGGAGTATGTAACTGAACAGTATCAACTGTCTTAAATATATTAAATAATTACTAATATTTGGCTTTTTATTTGAATGTAATGAAATTCAGATAATAATCATATTATTTAACTAAAATTCAGTAGATATAAAGACCAAATTCAATAAATGTAACTTTATTTCACTAATGACTTTTAATTATTCTAAGTTTTGGTATTAAAATAGGTACCTATTGAAAAGGAATGCACGTAACAGAGGTAATATTTTAACATCTTACTTAATAAAAATATAAATAAATTTACAGACTTACACATAACATAAATTACTATGATCATTGTCTAATTCTACTTAGTTTTTAAATAACTATAAGTTCCCTAACTAAAATGTGAAATATGAAAATAATAGTATCATTATTTCTTAAATAAAATATTTAAATAAAGAAAGCCTATGTCAAATCCAGTACTTATTGGATGGATTTGAAGAATTCTGATAAGCGTGTTGGCTTAATGGATCTGGTACATTGGAAAATGCATAAGGGTCATTCATATACTTATAATCACTGGGAATTCCAGTTAGACCCATGTTCAAAGTGTTATGTGAAGGACTCCAATTAGAAGGAGACGGTTCAGAAATTTTCGAGTAATCAGCTGGTATTTTAGGATAATCATTAGCTAGTTCCTTATACTCATCCGTTGTAGCTTTCGCATACGGTTCCTCTCTTGGCTCTATCACTTCTTCAGATGTCACTTTATCACTAGTTTCCACATCTTTAGGAAGATAGCTAATAGGTTTGTTATACACATCAGTTGGATATCTTCCGTAATCATTTCTTGAAGTAGCGTCCATAAGTTGACCGTGTGTTGGTGGTGCGCCACCTCCCACTAAATGGGTGAACGTTGCACCCGAAGTACTTGGGAAATTGGCAGATTGAAAAGCTTGATTGAGATGTTGCGATTGGGCCATGAGTTGGTTATAATTTGAATATTTTTGATGATGCCAAGCGTCTGGATGTTGGGGATGATGTTGTGACAATGAAGGAATGTCCCCAGCTGGATAAGGGCATGGTAATTGAGGCATCGGTAAGGACGAGTACGATGATAGCGTGGGTGTATTTGAACCCGTATGTTTTCGAAGTCTTGCTCGACGATTTGAAAACCACACCTGTAATAAAAATATCATTGGCTAATTCATGGACTGCTATAATGTAAGAAAATTTCTGGTCCCTTCCTCTTACGAACACACCTCTATGTTCTATGTGTACTCCACAGAAGTAACACATATAAGGCTAGAGAATTTTTTTTTTTTTATTTACGTTTTAAACGCCTTTGAAAAAATTTGAAGACAAAACTGGCGAATAATTATTTATATATAATTTTTAAAATCGTTTTTTTTAAATAATTAATTGTTTTTTTTTTAATGTTTGTCTGTTTAATAATTGTTTTGATTGATATTTGTATGATCTCTACATGTGTCATGTTTGCCTTTAAGTGCTTGACACATTAAAAATTGTATTTTGTGTTTGTTTTTACCAATGTATCAGTATGCCGAGGGTTGGCAAGCTCTATCCGTGGAAAAAAAACACATTTAATTTAAATTAAAAACAGTTTAAATGGATTATATCAAGGTTATGACAACTCAACACATGTTTGTGTTGCGTACATTATCCCATTCTATTTTACATAGATATATTATATCGTTCATGCTTAGGGTACTAGGTTATCAAAATATACCCAATTAATATTACAAAAATATCTACGTATGCAATGCTTACCTGTATCCTGGCTTCAGTAAGACCGGTCTGCAATGCAAGTTCCTCTCTAGTATACACATCAGGATACTGTGTCCGATGAAACGCTCTTTCCAGGGCATCCAGCTGTTCACCCGTGAAGGTTGTTCTGGACCGTCGCTGCTTGCGTTTCAGGGTCAGACCTGGTTCCGATTCGATATCCGAGGAGTCGGATCCTCGACCTGAAAATTTTAACACGTAGACATAATTAGTTGTATTAACACGTATTTCTGTAAATTATTTGAATAAATTATACGTGTTTCCGATCGTTTTGTTATTACAATGTTGGAAATTATTTGATATTTATCGCGAAGAAGTAATGTACATCTTAATACAATATTTATTAACTTGACCGAATCAAGAGAAATAGAGTCAAACCGTTATGATAGATATACAATAAATAGCAAAATAAAGAGTCCTTCCTCCAACTTTGATTATGTTCTCTTTGAAGTAAAAACTCTTGTATGGGCCACGGGATACAAATGCACTGACGTTAATCAGCTATTTAAGTTGGCGCTTTGTTGACTGTACCGGTGTCCACAAGGCTGGTGATTTTCTCGCATAGATTTTTTTACTTTATTGGTCTATGGTATAAGTATAAAATTAATTTATATTTATTTATTATTATTTTTATTAAAATTTAAAATATTTCGTAATAGTATTTATTCTCGTCATAGTATTATTATTTTATTTATCTTTATAAATCTCAAACTTAGTAAATTATTTGATTAACTTGTTGAACACTATAAATACGTAAAACTATTTCCTACAACTAGTGTTATAAACAAATATGACGTAACATAATAGTAAAGTCCTTTCTTATTATTCTTTCTTATATTCTCTAGAGAACTTATTGCTATAAATCAATTTATTATAGGCAATCTAAACATAAAAAAATGTATAAAAATTGCAAATAAATGCTAGAGGCATAGATACGTATATCATCTTTTTAAATTTATTGCATATTTAAAGTAACCAACACAGCAGGTACAATAAAAAAAATCGGTTGTCTGTAAAGTCGGTTTACTGACGATAGTTGAACGTGACAACGTCACGAATCGCTCACTCAAGTAGGAGAGAGACAGATGTCGAACGCTGAAGAGCGCGGAGTCCGATTGTGCCTCTCTGTCGCTTCGCGCTCTCGCTTGCACTTCAAGCCTTAAATGGAACGCCTCAGAGCGAGGTAACGCCTCAGAGCGAGGTAACGCCGCATGAGTCATGTTTTTTCGTGCGTGCAGCCGGCTCCATCGATTTATAAGACGTTGTCACGTCAAAAAAACACGACAGTGGCGGCCTTCTTGCTCTTAAGCAGTATATTCCAGGCGAATGTAGAAATAAAAATAATAACGTAGAAGTGCAACAAGTAAATTTAATTTATTGGTTTCGCACCCGATTATTAATCAAAACGATGTCAGTAATAAAAAACGTTGATACATTTAGAAAGAATGTTATAAAATATTTGAGGATCATCATTATGATTAATCTAACTCAATTAGTATACACAAAGATAAATCTACTCTGCGCTGAGATCAATAAAGTGTCATCTTAATGTTAAATTATAATTTATTTGATGTCTTGCGGCGATTCGTCTTCATCTGTTGTAACGTTATTTATTAACTTTTTTACAATATTCGCTATCAAACATATCGGTAGCGCGCGGAAAGATTAAAAAAGTACAATGCGGCTTAGGCCTTAAAAATGCGGCTTATTAATGGCCTTTGAAAGTCAAAATTGAAATGAAAAAAATTGGGGCTCGGGAACACCCAGAAAGGCGGTCCCTTTGTCGGCCCCTTTGCATTTCGGGTGACATTTTGGCACCATTCAATATTTTGGTGTCGCGATCTGGATTTATGACATAAAGCGTTTTGTGCTTTTTAGTTGTGTTTTAACGGCTTATGTTGTGTGACAAAATTACAATAATTTGTATGATTATTCATATGACTCAAAGTACACTCCCAATATTAATATTTTTAAAGCATTCTTTGGTTTACTGATAGGTATGGTATATTCAGTGTGTATCCATCCAGAATTTAGTTAAAAGGCATATATGACTATTCGATTTACGTATCGACTACGATAAAAACAATTGAAAATACATTTTTATCGTTAGTCTTCGCCAACATCGGATATCCATTCGTTAGTTTTTATTCATAAATAATATTGATTCATATATAACTCTTATTTTCCATAAAACTGATATTTGGGGTTGCGCAATACCATTATTAACAAACACTATTTACAATTCTTATTTACTTGTTTTAAATAAAGTATTATATTGTAATGTAAATGAGCAGTGTTGGCCTAGTGGTTTCAGCGTGCGACTCTCATACCTGAGGTCGTAGGTTCGATCCCCGGCTGTGCACCGATGGACTTTCTTTCTATGTGCGCATTTAACATTTGCTCGAACGGTGAAGGAAAACATCGTGAGGAAACCGACATGTGTTAGACCCAAAAAGTCGACGGCGTGTGTTAGGCTCTGAAGGCTGAACCTACTTGCCTATTAGATTTAAAAAATGATCATGAAACAGATTCAGATATCTGAGACCAAGACCTAAAGAGGTTGTAGCGCCATATAGTAATAGCTTTTTTATAAAAAAAATGAATCAATGTTTAATCCAAGTAATACACGATTTTAATAATTGCAAAAACAATTAAGATACTATACAATTGTCCCAATGTATTTTTATACACATAAAAAAAGACAATAGCCTTCATGTGCGATATAAAACTCACTTTATGGGTGCTTTACGGTCGAGAAACGCGATCTTATAGCTTCGAGGTACAAAAAGGCGAGATTAGCTTTGCGGATTGCCGAAATGTGACGCTTTGAAGGCTTCAAAAGTCATAATTTGGAAGTTGAAAGCATTGCGACTTGGGTTTAACACCTTCATAATCCAGGCTCATTAAAATCGGCGGTCGATCTTTGTTTCGGGTTTTACAGATGGCCGGATTAGCACGCATGTGGGCGTGTTCTTGGTATCCTTTGTCGTGTTCCCGGATTTTAACACCCGCGTAATTGATTTCGTTGTTATTAATTATTCTTTAGGGTTTGACTTTGTCAAACGACGCTTGCACTATATTAAAATAATAGTTCGTAGCATAAAAAAAATAATCTTTAGTCCTATCACCTCGACGTCCGTCGTTCCACAACTGAGTGTTTTTTTAAGGCAATTTTTTCCACGGACCACCACTATGTGGAACCAGCTGCCCACGAATTCGACTTAGAGTCCTTCAAGAGCGTTTCAATTCCTAAAAGGCCGGCAACGCACTTGCGAGCCTTCGGACAATGTAATATATCAATTATTTCAATATCAATTAACATCAAATGTGCCTCCTGCCCATTGTTACATAAAAAAACTCAACTATATTAAACTGTATGTACACAAAATAGAAAAACCTATTTGATAATCTTAATATATGAAAAGTATTTTTCATATCTTAATATATATAAATTACGTGTCACGTTGTTTGTCCGCTATGGACTCATAAACTACCGAGCCGATATCAATCAAATTTGCACACCGTGTGCAGTTTGATCTAACTTAAAAGATAGGATAGCTTACATCTCAATTTATACCTGCAATATTATTTTATTGCAAAATATTTGTTTATTATTTAACAGTCACAATTCTAACAGATGGCGCTGTGTTGAAAGTACCAACGTTTCACATAAGCTACAATTTAATGGCAAAACCTCCAATAAAGCATGGTGGTCCCCATGACTGGTGTTCTCCTACCGTTTCCCTTGAATAGTTTACTACTATGTAATATAACAAAAACCTTAGCCATAGCAACGCTTGGCCGGTCTGCTAGTTTTTTTTATATATTGGATACTCGCAAAATTATTAAGAAACATACCTATTTAGCGTGTTAAAATTCGCGAAAATGACTACATAATAGCAATAATAAACGAAGAAAATAATAATAGAAAACTTTAAATTATTTAACCTAATTTATAAAGCTTCTTTTTCTAAATCTAAATCACTTATGGTCATCATAATTTAGATGAATGCCGCAACAGTTGATTCTAATGAGCGTTGTTATTAAACAAATGCGAGATTTTATCTTCCATTCTTTTGTGATGTGAAAGTGTAACAAAGACTTTTCACATTTGTGTTTATAATATTATATGTTCTCATTTAGGGGGACATTGTGATATTTTACGCTTTTTTATTATATCTTGCAATCTTAGTAATACTGTTTTGTCTTTGACTATAATTTATAAAACTTTAGTACCTAAATCATTCTAAAATAACATTCGCTCGAAAATTTCTAGCTGCAAAATATTGTCGTCAAAATAGTCTTTATAATGGCATTAATTTAATTCCAACACACAAATACAATTTTCTTAACCTACAAAATAATAATTTAAAATGAATAAATAGAAAATCAAAACAAATTAAAATTTGGTCCCTGTCGCAGTGTACCTTTACCGCTGCTAGCATTTCCTCGCTGTATGGTACTTATTCGTTGAGAGAGAAAAGCGCCAACTTAAATTTTTAAATAGCACCTGTTCACTTGAACCCCACGGCACAAGAGTCTCTACTCCAATAAGAAGAAAATCAAAGTTGGAGGAAACACCCTTAGATTTAGGCCGTTTATTAAAGTATAACGTTTGTATGTTGTTATATCAAAAATATGTCCTATCTTACTTTCCCGGCTAAGTAATAAGCTTCAAATTCATAGGTTCTTGGCAATAAAACTAGAAAGATATGTTACAGTGAAGCGTTTTCGTTTCGTTTCTAGTACAGATAAGGGCTTTTAATAGGGGTATGCTGTATATTTTATGTACTTACTTATGCCTCAATTTGATCATTAATGTTACAGTACAGTTAATGTGTAAACTTAGATAATTTTCATTTGGTCTTAAACTCGGTTAAGGAATTAGAATTCAAATAAATAATTCGGAACTTTGGTACCAATTAACATAACGCAAACGGACAGGAGGCTCATCTGATGTCTAGTAATACGCCCATGGGCAATCTCAATGCCAGAGTGCTCGCGAGTGTTGCCGGCCTTTTAAGAATTCTTTGAAGCTCTCTAGTGACTTAATTACAGTGTTGGCCTAGTGGCTATACCCTGGCTGTGCACGAATGGATTTTTCTTGCTTTCTGCACTTAACTCGCTCGTACGGGGATGGAGAACATCTAAGGCTCAAAAACGTGTTTCAGGCACAGAAGGCGGATCAGCGACAAGCCAATTAAGAAAAAAGTCGCGAAACAGATTCATAAATCGGAGGTTGAGGCTTCCTAAGGCCTTCGATAAGGGTTGTAGTTCAGTTTTTCTGATAGACCAAGCTGGTATTACTAACGCCTACATCAATGATATAAGCAAATTGTCCTTGGCTATGATTACGCGCATTATTGATTTATAAATGGTTTTAATAAGTTCTTAAATCGCGAAAGTTTAACTGTATAAAACTTCCAAACTCATTTGTTTTTTATATAAAATTTTGTGCACCTGAGACATCGCGTTAGTATGAATGTCTTAGTCCGACGTTGTAATTGAATATACACACGTATAGTGCTATATCTTGAATAATAATAATAAAATGTTATTATTATTATTGTTTATATATTATATGTTAGTATAAATGTTATTAATTTATTGTTATTTATTAATGTTATTCAGACAATTTTATACTTATATTTCTATCACTTCATTCTCTTACATCAGGGTACCCTTTTTTGGCAAATGGCTTCTCCAAATCCCACCATTCCTGTCTGCACTGTGCCACTCTCTTCTCTCACCACCTGCTGTTTTCTTATTCTGGTCTATCCACCTTCTAAACTGTCTTTCTCTTTTGCGTTTATCATACCTTGGTCACCAGTTAAATACTTTCTTGCTCCACTTTTCTGTTCCATTTGCCATGTGCTCCGCCCATTTCCATTTCAGTTTATTTATTTTGATTGCGTTAGTTATTCTTCTTTATTATGTATTCTTTCTTTTATCTTTATATTTCGAATACTTTCTAATAAACACTTTTTTTCAAATATATTTCTTCTATAATCGTCAGTAATTGTTTAATTGCAGATAACAAATGGCTTCCTTTCTCAAAATGAAAGCAATGAAACGTCAAGCGTTCTATGACCGACAGGTATCGGTAAACGTCAAAGCACAATTAGTGCAAGTGCATAATGCAACAATGGTACAATCACCAAAACATGTGGATTGTTGTCGTTTCAGCACTTTTGAGACTCACTGCAGGGTTCCGCGGTGCACTTTGTCGGTGACTGTATAGCCGGCCAATATTTCTTGGTGACAATGACACCTTGTGTGCGGAAATTGATTTTTTGCGTGAGAGCCTTTGACATCGGCCGTTTGATGTTTATAAAGGAAGTTACGCAATAGGGTTGTTTTAAATGTATTTGTGGTCTTATTCACACATCCCTATAATTTATTACGCCCGACAATCAATCAAATCTTCTTAGGGTAAGATTTAGACGAGATTTAGCGCTAAGTCGTACTCTCGTACGTCAAAAATGTATTGGGTTTTTGATATACGGCCTGTAAACCTAGCTTAATACATACAACATACAGTAAACGAAAAACATAAAGCCGAGATATAATGTATAAAATGGAATAGAACAAATAGAATTCAGGGTTTTCTTAATTATTTAACGGAATAAAAGATCTTTTACATCTGTTGAACACCAGCCCTTACTCTGTTATTCCGATTAGCTGATCCCAAGGTTGCAGTGCTACGGATGGTAAGAGAACTACATCGCACTTCAATATAAAACCGTCGGGATCGGAATATCGGAATCGCTGACGCTATTTGAAGTCACAGAGTAAGGGCGTATCATTGTTTTTATCTGGAATTAGCGCATTATGATAGAAATTAAATTAGTATACCTACTACTATACTACACAACTACTAATACGCTTGTATACGGCACTATCCATTTCAATATATAATAACATTCTTACTCCTTCTACTTTAAATGAAAGTTTAAATTATTACCTCCTAGAATCCCGTCGATGCTGTAGTCTTTCTTTCCATCTGGATCTCTTGCACCTCCTCGGAGTAAACGTGATATAGAGGATATACTTGGTGGGTCCGATACGCCTTCCTGAAATATAAGTTCAAGAGTGTATTATTCACTCGTGGGTTCATGATGATTTCCTTCATCATACGAGACAAGCTCGTACGGTAAAGTAAAATCGCGTGAGGAGACCGGCGTACCTTCGACACAGAAGGCTGATCACCAACTTACCTATTAGAAAAACTAATTAATCACAGATCCAGAAATCTCATGCTGAAAGTGTTGGTTGGTAGCTGGTAACTATTGGTTTTAGTGTTCGCTTTTTTTTTATCGAAACATTTTTCTATCGAATCCAGCAATTTCTGAGGCACGCCTTATAACAGGTATTATAGTGAATGAATTTTCTTACTTTCAACAGTTTTTCCCGGATTTCCCACGAAAAGATACCGGGGTTTTGTCGCTTGAGGTCTTCTATCCTAGCTTCCACCTCCGGCGTAGCCACCCTCGGCTTGGACCCACCAATCACTCCAGGTCTTATTGACCCGGTCTCCTAACCAAATAGGGTCAGTTAGCAGCTTTGTAAAAGGCAATGATTATGTTTAAGCACATCCCATTCAAGAGGATAAAAAAAATCTTGAAAGTGTAAAGTGTAATAGTATGTTTTCTGTAGTCAACTAATTATACATTAATTCCTTCGGTGCCATCTCAAGATAACATTGTTTCGCTGGGATTGGAACCAGGTCCTTCAGGTTCAAGGAAATATTCGTTACTAATTAATTCACTAAGGCGGTGAATATGTGAGAGAAATCTTGTAACAGTAACTACAACGTGGCTTTATTCAATTGGCCTAAACACGCTCAAACTAATTGTTAATCTTTCTTAGTTTATTCCAATCTAGTTATATATATATTTATATAGTTTTATACCCTCGAACAACATGAATATGAAATTTGACATATTCATGGTAGGTATACTATAACACAAAGTACAAGTTAAATAAAATGATATCAGATTAAGATTTAAGAGAGTTTAACAAGAATTTTAAATTAAGAATGCATATGTTACTGTAAAAGCTCGAACTGCAGTAAATCCTAAGATATTCCAGTAAAACCTAAGATCTACCAATTCCTAATGGTAAATGTCCCAAAAGGTTTGCGATTCGAACTCTTACCACCATTCCGTTGGTAAATCTTAGGAGTCACCGTGACCACGCACGCTGTAAAGCAGCGAACGTCGGATAAATTTAAAATTATGTTAAATAGTTGTAAATTTATAATAATACATAACTTCAATCCGGTCAAAATAGTGTTTTATTAAATCTTAGGATTTACAGTAATGGCACGGTAAATGTTGAAAAACAAAACATGTCATAAGCTTAGGTATGTAAGCATTATGTTTGTATTTCGTTGTTAAATGCCAAATAGAGAACTACTGATTCAGTTAGATAGATATGATAGAGATTGAGATATTCAGAGATATACGTTATGTGTTTTTTTCAAAATA